CTTAAAAATATTAAACATAATTTTAATATTTGTTATCACCATGCTAAATAATAATTTTAAAGTATTTATTTTATTGTTAACGTTGATTAAATCAATATTAATTCTTAATTTAAATGAAAAAAGGGATCGACAATGTGTCAGTTAACTCCATATTAAATAATCAATTTGAAAAAAAAAATATTTTTATAATTAGAATTAGTTAAATGAATGCTAACTTAGTTTGAAAGAAAGTCTGAGTATTAAATGAAAAATAAAAAAGGATGTCCAAATAAATAACATGCTTTTTTTTAACCCTACTTTCTTAGTAGGCCTTTCCCTTTTCATTTCTCTTCTAATTTTTTGAATCCTTTATTTAATAATGCACAAACTAAAAAAGTTTGAATAGTCAAATCAAATCCATTTGCATTCATTATTTTTTAGGGTAAACTTCGTGCTAATTTACAACCACATGCCATATCATATATCCATCTCAAAACTCAACCACAATTGTTATTATCAAATCTCATATACCGAACTGCATCGAACTCCTCAATAATAAATCCTAAAATATAGTTTGATATATATCCTACCAATGTCTTATACATGCTTGATTTAAAAGTGTCATTCATAATATTTATATTTTTTCAAATAATATCTTTATTTTATTATGTTGTAAGATGATAATATTATGAATGGTATCCCAATACGAGCACAAATTTCCCATACTGTTTTACAATATTTTATTCAGAGTAAAATACAAATTACATGAACACATTAAATATTTAAAAAAAAACTAAATAAAATGAGATTCAAACATACTTATTTAATATTGTATTTCCTAAATACATTACTCAGTTTATCCACGTTTTTCCAAAGTATTTCGTATACCAAATGATCTAAGAGTTATTGACATATTCAAAGAATAAAAGTCATGAATTATAAGCATGATGAAGTTGATCAACACAATAGCTAAGTATTGACTCATGTCCAAAACCCATGACATGTTCTCATGTTTGCATGACAATATCTCATGCCTCAACAAAATTGACTAACATTTTGCACTTGACTTGCAATTTTTCTGAATGTAGAAACGACATAGGAGATGATAACATTAAAGGAATACAATGCAAATAACATTCATCAAAGTTATATCTCTATCACTAATAGTGACTTATGGATCATCCTCATATGTCATAAATAATCTCCTGATATATCCAGAGTTAAAGTGAAATTATTTTGTTTTTCACTTGATAAGAATACAAAGACAGCTCAAAAAGTTAATCTTATTGATGTTACCACAACTACTCAAGCAATGACAATAGATATTTGTTGGTTTTGTAGGTGCTATCCGTTAAGAAAACAACATTAAATGCATTCAAAAATTTTGATACATTAGGATGTGTTCAAAAGAGATCATTTATCACCTTAGTTTTATCTACACATCTCCTCTAGTGGATGTATTTATCACATTCTAACATCATCATCCGTTGTTGTGATTCAGTTCTCAAACCTCTTAATAATAATTTGTAAATATATCTTGCATTATATATTTGCTTGATTGATGTCACATTACACTCATTATTTTATTTGAGAGGAAGGAGAATGTTTGCAAACTTCACTTGACTCTTAATCATATCAACAAACAATGAGTATTTCATGGATTTTAACCTCCCAACAAAAAGGTGATCAATTAAAGTTTGTGAAAAATTATGGTTATGATATCTACATATTACTTTCAATACTCACCCCTCTCCATTAGAATTTGGTTTGCCTCTCAATTTAAAAAGACAATCATATTTTCTTGTGCAAGATATACTAGTTTGAATATCAGATTTTTATTTTATGTACTTTCCACCCCTTTCATATCCTAATAATACATGTCTTTCTTCTAGGTTAAAGATTATTTTTATCATATCTTATAATGAAAATAAAAATATGGTCAGTTGTAAAGTTATTTGTGTAATCTCCCTTGCAAATTTTATTTATAAAAGAAGAGACATCTGACATGAAGTTGGAACTTACTTGTGATTTCATAAAACTTAAAATATAATCTTTCATCTTAGACGATAACCAACTACAACATAACATCACCATAGAATACCTCACTTGTTCAATAATAATAATAACTAGAGATTAAGAAATTCATAAAACAAAACTAGCATAACAAATTAAAAAAGTAATAAAAAAAATTAAAAACATTACTAGATTTTGAAATTATAGAGAAAACTTAATCGAATTTCAAAATCTCATAAGTTTTTTTAACTAAATTTTGAAATTCTATGAATTTCCTTAACCAGATTTTGAAATCTAGTTAATTTTCTAAATCAAATTTCAAAATCTAATAAATATTTTTACAAACGGAATTTTGAAATCTAATATATATAATAAAAATAAATATAAAACTTTAAATGAAGTTGAATAAAAACTATAATCAATACATGTACTAAACAAAAATGAACGAAATTTTAAAGAAGACGAAGACGAAGGAAAATGAAAAAAAGCCGAAAAGAAGAAAGCTGAACAAAAAGAAAAGAAAATAACGTTACTTTGAAGATGATTTAGGAATACAAAGTCTTAGTAAATATATCAATAATATAGTTGATAAACAATAATTACTACTTAAATTTATTTTATATATATATATATATA